TAATCCACACACACAACTAATAAGTGAATGCAGGGTTTTTTTTTAATATACTATTTATATCAGCATATGTCCTAAAGAAGTTTTTGATATTTTTGTATTTATAGTAAATCATAGCAGTGTGTAGCGTGCAGAAAGAAAAATAAGGGGGGGAGAGTAAACTCTATTAATCTTTATAAGAGAAAACATGTCATATGTAATATCCTCGAGTTGCATCACCATCTGGGTTGATTGTTTTGGTTGGTTTGTTGGGGTTTTTTTTGAGGCCCTTGGAAGCGATCCAGCAGATGCTAGGGCTGCAGGAGCTGGGGGCTGGAACCTGCTCCCTGAAGCACGGTTAGATGTCTTCTGCTGCTTGCTGGGCCACAGCTGCGGTTTTACACAACAAAAACTCATCTACTGCAAATATTTTCCTCAGCTGAAGTGAGAAGCTTGCATCTGAACTGCCTCATTGCTGAAACCCGTGGCCGAAGTGCTTCTGCTAGAAGAAGTGACTCGGCACGGCTCTGCGGGAGAGCTTCTGAGGGGGCTCCTTTGTTGGGGTCGGGGTATTTTCTTATCATATAGAGCTGTCTTTTTCCTGCTTGTGCCTTTCCCTCAAAGTTTACCACTCTTTCTGGTTTGCTATCCCCTCCTTTTCTGTTATTGTTCCCTTTTATTTTCCCGACAGATGTGGAAAATAAGCTTTTGGAGAAGTCTAGGTCTCGAGTGCTGTTCAAAGGCAGGGTCTTCAAAAGCCCAGCGTGCAGCGTGGCTGCTCTGAGACCTTTGCTGGGGAAATCCCGGCCTGTGATGAAGAACTCAGCTGGCAGATGATAGAGCTGGCCTGAGTTATTACGGCAGGAGTCAGTGGGCTTTTCCTACAGGAAATCCAATGAAAGAGATTATAAATTTTAGAAGTAGATCAGGTAGCTAGCTTAAATGTTTCAAGTCGGGCTAGCAGCTCGCTTCATGGCTTAGTAGCTGTGTCTTTAGCAGTTAAGCAAAAAATAACCTCACCACTTTCCAAAGGGATGGATGAACTTTTGAGATTTTTAAGCCATGGCCTGTGACACCCGAGGGCTTGCTCTGAGCCAGACACCACTTCCAAACCTCTGCTGCTCCTCCTGGAGGTTAGAAAAAGCCTCCTCGTTCCCAGCTTTTAACGGTCTTGGGGATCAGTTCGCACACGTGAGGACGTGCCAGTGCTGTTCTTCAAGCCCTGACAGGTCTTCTCCCTCCGTACCCATCACCGTAGCCTTTCCCAGTGGGGCTCTCACCCCTTTCCCAGTGTGGATGGCCAGCCAGGTGAGCTCTGCTCGACCGCTTCTTGACCTTCCCAGGAGCCCTTCTGTGAAATGATTCTCATTTAAATTCATCTCTCTTTATGTAGACGATCAGGGTTAACTGCATTACTCCCAGGATTTTCACCCCCACCTACTGAGCAGCATCAGTATTGCCCCATGTCTGCCAGATGTATTTCCACGGATCCGGTTTAGGATTGTATTTCTGCCTTTCCTGGCTGTGCGACAGCAACTCAGCGCGTGCAGACGTTGGCCTCCGCAGCTCCATTTGAGGAGCTCCACTGCTCCAGCAGAAAAGTTAATTATTCCCCATGTATATATAATTTATGGGGCTATGCATTTTGTATGACTGAATCTCATTCCATGCCTATTATCCTTCAAAGCCATCCAGCCTGTCCTCTCTGATATCCCAGTCCTCTTCTGTATTAGCAGTTCTTCTTGTCAACTTCCCTTCCTCTGCAGAGCGAAGCTAAAATGAGGGGTGGAATAGAGTTGACAGCTCTTTCAAGGACGGATTAGAGCATAAGCATAAATTTAATTTCAGATGAAAGACAGGAAATGTCGAATGGGATGGACTTCCCTCGGTCTGGGGTCTGGTTTGACCTCAAACATGAGCAGACAGCATGCAGAAAGGAGGTGGGAGATAGGTGGGATTAGTAGGAAGAAGCACAAAAGCTGAGCACAAGCACATGGGGAGAAGAATAGCCGTGCCTGGTGGCTGTCGTGTTTAATACCAGCAGCCCAGACCACGAGCTTGATCTCTGGGACGTTCAAAACAAATACTTAAAGGAATCAATGAGGAATGGAGGTGATGCCAGAAAAGTGCAGAAAAGCAAACTAGAGGTTATTTTTTTTTTAAAAAAAAAAAGGGAAAAGAGGTGCTGGGGAACAGCTGACCCTGGCCGGGACGCTCTCGGATCCCACCAGGAGTTCAATAAAACCCCGGAAAGCAGAGACCAGAGTGGTAGCAGACAACATTGATCAGTGGAAAATTGAGTCAAACTAATTTTTTTTTCTACAAGAAGCTGGCAGATCCTTGTGGATTCCAGAGCAGCAGTAGGGATCCTGTGACGTGGGGTCTTATAAGGCTTTTGATACTGTAGAGGAACGTAGCGCGTACGCCTGTAGTCTGGAGTGGAAAAAAAGTGTCTTCTCCTGGACCTTCCTTGGAATCAAGTCATCTGGTGGCCACCATGAAACGACACTAAATAAACGTGGGTAGCGTGAAGGGCTCGGAGACCAGGAGCCTCTCCCCGGGAGGAGCGGGATGGCGAGGTGGGATTAACGGCGTAGGAGAAAACCCTAGGAAAGACTTACCCTTGCCTAACTTGCCGGTATTCTATTTAACCCGCCCCATAACTAGTGGGTCACGTGCGTAAAAGCATGGCAGAAAGGATTTTTTTTTTTTTTCCCCTCGCCTGCACATTGGGACAACATATAGCAAGTAAAGTTTTCAAGCCTTGTGCCTCAGCACCTTTCGTCCTGAGGGGAATATAGATGTGATATTCCAGTGGCACTCTGCTTCTCAAACTCAGTAAGAGGCTTTGTTACCAATTTAGGCTAAATTGGGAAAGAGGCGGTGAGTTTACCATTTTGAGCGAAAAACAAGGAAAATTCTGTCTTCTGGTGTATCGGATGAACCTTATGGCTCCCTGCTACAATTAAATTATCCACCCCCTCCTATTGGGAGATGAACAGATGCAAACCCCAGAGACCCAGAAGCTCCCAGGGCTAATAATGCTGTGTTTTTTTTCATGTCAGAAGTATTTTTGTGTTTGTCGAAAGATTCACTTGCACAGCCGTAACATCTCTCTCTGCCGTGCCTGGAACAGATGCGTGTGTTGTAATATAGACTGTGAACATTGACATCGCATGTGGTTCTCATTCCTCCCATTCATCTTTGAAGCTAATTGGTTCCATCCATTTCAAATGTGTTTGGCTCGCCGCAGCTATTTGTACTTTCACTCTGGTTATAGCGCTAATGGTGTGATATATATAACATGAAATAAACTCTCGTGACTCTGAGGTCTGAAGAGACACATACGTAGCACTTGCATTTTGCTTGCTGTGTTAGGTTTTGGTTGTGGTGGGTTTTTTTTTTTTTGTTAAATTATGTCCCCCAGACAATTTTTTTCCCTCTTCGTTGGAAATGTTACGAACTAGCTGGTGCTTAAGATGAGGGCCGGTGTGATCGCAGCTCATTCTGCCTCATGGGAGCTCAGAAAATGCAAAAAGAGGAGCCTGTTGGCGTTTGCCAAACGTAAAAGGTTTTGCAGTCCATCTGCTGGCGGTGGACCTGCTGGTCGGCTTCGGTGCTGCTCCCTGGTGAGATACCGGGACTGGCGTTGTTAGAAACCCATGTGCTGGCCTGTCTACGTGGTTTAATACTGTGCATATACGGGTTAGTAAAAAAAACCCAGTAAATTAGCGGAATTTATAAATCAGATAATACCATCATTTTCCCGCGACTCAACAGCATAATGTAGGCAAAATAATCTTCCTGTTGAAAAGGCATCAGTAAGGCTGTAGGGTATTTCTCTGGTCCTTCTCCCATCTTTCCTCTAACTAGCCCTGGGCATATGGCACTCTGGGACTAATTGGTAATTTGTCTTTCTCTACCAACGCCGACCCTAAGCAACCTCGTTACCGTCCATCCATTATACCCATATCCTAGTTAAAGGTGATTTCAGTTTTTGATGTGTGCTTAGCCCCCGATTTTAGAGGGATTTCACTGATGAACAGCGAGGGGATATTTGGGGATTTTTGCAGTTCGTTCCCATCCATGACTAATTTTTGAGGAAGCAATGGAACATGTTTCACACTTCAGCTTTTGCTCAAAAAGTCATGTAGTTCCTCAGCTTCACTATAAATATTTTCACTTCGTGCTCGGGAGGCTTGTATTCCCATTGTTTAAGTAAGCCGTTCATACTAATTCTTTGCTTTTTGGGTTGTTTTTGGGGTTTTTTTTTTAGTATTTTATTTTTTTTTTTAAACAACTTGACTGGCAAGTATTTGGGTTACTGTTGTCAGCTGAAAGCAAAGTCATGCGAACTTCCTTCTACCCTGTCCTCATTGGGAAGTAAAGTGTGTCAGCTTTAAGTGTTAATCTTGGTGTTTTCAGGCTGAGAGAATTCACGTATGGCTGCGCAGACCACGAATGCATCCGTTGTCCACTTGAAAAATGATCTGCTGTTTAGGGACCATATTTTTAAGTGGTTTCTATTGAGTCTCGGGATTTTTGCTGTCTGAAGGTTTGACGTGCTGTACTTCTGTCAGCGACTGCGGGGGATACGGACGGCAAAACTCTGAGCGGTGTTGAGCAGAGCTGGGACTAAGCTCGTACCTGAGAGTAAAGCTCTGGCTCAAGGTTGAAGAGCACCTGTCACCCGAGCTTTGCCACTGGCCACAAGCAGGTGGTTTAACGCATCTTTGCAGGAAGGGGAAGAGGTGCCCCCCAAAACTCACTCACTCGTGTTATACCAGCCATGGGTTGCTAGCTTGGGAGGGTAAATCAGGTCTGGGTCTGGTAGCATCGTTACGCCTTCTCAGCAGTTGTCTGTAGAAAACAGAAGGCTACATCTTTGGTTTACCAGTTTCATTGCCAGTTTTGTTCCAGCTCTGGAGAGACACCCTCTGGGTTGGTGGGTGTTGATAGAAAAGGGGATTTTCTAAGTCGAGATGATCGCTGAATTTCACTCGTTTTCTTCTTTTCCTTTGTAGGTCCAAGTTCAGTCAAAAACAAGAAAAAGGGTAAGCTTGACTTTTAATTTCATTTTCCTTTCTGTGCGTGTGGTACCCGGCTGTGAATTTTCTTTAGCCAACATGAAGGAGAAAGCAAGGAGAGGTTCCCTCTCCGGGAAGGGCAGGGATGAGCGTGGTGCATGTGCCCACAGCATGGACCATGAGCTGCTCTCACACCTTTGCCACGGCAGGACCGTGTGACCCAGCGGCAGCGGGGAGCACCGGCGCTCGTTAGAGCCTGCCTGAAAAGCTAAAGGAAGTTAATTACGTTGTGTAGAAGTCGTTCTGAAGATGACAGAATTAAATAGCTGGGTGAAGCTGAGTCACGGAGCAGCTATCGGGAGCTGCTTGCTCTTTGCCAGGCCTACGCAGTTTTCGCTTTCATCCCTGTCCTGCCGTGGGTCTGCTGTGGGTTGGGGTCTCCTTCAGACCCACCGAGGTCGACGCTGATGCGCTCTGCATCTCATATGTGGTTGCGTATTAACTGCAGAAGTACTGTTTTATGTGTCCGTTCTGAGAGTGGGTCAGCCCCCAGGTATTTCGTCTGGCTTGGTGATGTTCCACGAGCTGTTTGAGAGGAGTAGTTGGGTATTTTTTCAATTGCACATCGCTGAGTTGTGGTGACTTGGGTTAGTCAGGAGGCAGCCCTGTGTTTCCAGGGGGTGCCTGATGCCATCCCTGGTTTTTGTAGGACTCTCGTGGTCATACACTTACTTGCTCCCAGGAACTTGAGCGAGTCCAAGAACCTGAGGTGCTTCATGCTGCAGTCTTGAATTCAGGCCGACGCAGTCAGATGTCCCGTTTTTTCCTCCTTGTAACCATCAGAACGCTTCCGTGCACGTTTTTAAAAACTGCGGTGCACGCTGGCAACGGGTTGTGGGCTGTGAGAAGTGCAGGAACTGCGAGCAGCTCGGGGTCGTGCTGCTTCTGAAGCCCAAGGAGCTCCATCGATCGAGGGGCTCGTGCCGGCGTCGACGTGCAGCACGTGCTCGTGGCCAGGCCCGTGCAGCAAAGCACTGACACGTGCAACGGCAGCTCTCTGCTTACTACCTCTTGCACTTAACGTGTATTGAATTAACGGGGAAGTTACCTGTTTGACACTTTGCTGTGTCCCCTCAGAGACCTCCCGGTGCGTGCGGGTCCGTGGCCTGGGCTCCAGCCCACCGTGGCAACCTGCAGCAGGAAGAGCAGCCGAGCTTTGCGTGTCTTTGCTACTTTAACAGCACAGCAAATCGCTTTTAATCCTCCGATACAAACTCAACAGTTATGGCTCAGAGGTTGAGACAGGCCACAGTTAGAAACTTAGTTTATATTTACCCTCAAAAGCAGCATAAAATTTTATGTTTGAGAAGCTTGTCCTAACAAAACTCTGAAACCCTAAACCCGTGTTAAATCAGCTGAACTAATAACAAATGATGACTGTGGTATCCGTAGCAATTCTGGAGTAGCTGGGGAATCTCATAGGGCTGTATTATATACAGCTGTAACGCTGTATAAAATAGTTTAATTTTATGGTATTGTCACATTTAATTTTTTTTTTTTTTTTAGAATTAGAGCTTATTGTTTGGCAAACAGTGATTAAGGAAAACTTACTGTTCTGCCTGCTTTGAGTTTTGGAGCCTGCCTAGTGCATGTGGGTAAAGACGGAGCCTTGGCACGCTGGGACTTGGGTGCTGGAGAGCTGCTCGTGGTGGGGCTGGGCTCCCCTCGGTTAGAAGATGAATCGAGAGCTCTAGACTTACTGAATGCCTATTTTTTGCCTCATGACTTTAATAAGCAAGGTGCCATTAATGCAGAAAAGTAGTTGAAATTACTTGAATGAGCGGGAATGCACAGAAAATAAGTGTCCCTGTGCGGCATCAGAATTATGTGCAATTGTTTTACTGCTATAAACTAGCAGCTCGTCTAGTAGCAGACCAGATTTCTGAGACAGATTAGTTAAACCAGCTGTAAATGTGCGTCCCTCTTGGGAAGGAAAGCAAGGAGTGACAGCAGCAGGATTCCTGACTGACTGCATGTGATCCTTCGTTCGGGTGGCCTAGATCGGAGGGGATGTGAAGGAAAAGATTGTAGGAAGTGTGCTTTAGAGGAAACAGGTAAGGGGATTGATTCGAGGTGATAATTTCCCAGTCGTGTCGTTATCCCGAGGAGGAGGAGAAGTGCTGGGTTGGAGGAAGGCTGGCTCGTTGCTAGCTCAGATTTGACCGCACAGCTGCTAATCTAGGCAGAAATACTGCGGGTGGTTTGTCCCCCTAAGCCTTTGCCCCCGTTTTTTGTAGGATACCAGTATTATTTAATCACCCGTGTTTACTTGAACTTAGTTTTCTGCACGTTGAAGTTAAACCGCACGTTTGTCCTGCGCCGATTTCCACGTTTGTGTCTAGTGGCCATCTAGAGATTTCTGTTTCTGTGCTAACTAAAATAGATGGGTGTTTCCTTAGAGTTTTGTTCCCTGACAAAGACAGATGAATATTTAATGGAGAAACAAGTACATAAATGTCCTCAGAAACCATTCCCATAACCATTATTTCATATCCTAACTGCTGCTGTCATCTAAAGAAACGTTTAATTCTGTCCTACAGCAGAGTTTGTTTCGGCAATTGAAGCAATTTTGCGAAGTTGATAAAGCTCCTTGGCATAGAAGCTGTTGTAAAGTTTCATTTTAAAAGCTATCTCAGAAAAACGTGAATTGTATCGGGGATCTGGGGAAGCAGGAGAGCACAGATCAGGCTTTCCCTGCAGACCTTCTTTCGAGTCCGCTGTGTTTATGCCTGACAAGGGTCTTTACTTGCATGGTTGCGCTGTTTCTCTTCCTGGGACCGTTTGTTGGGGTGCGCTTGAGGATTGTGGCAGTTCTTCAGTGCTTTCATCCTCCGGAGTGGGTTAGTGCCCGCCTTACCCCTCCATCCAGAGCCCAAAATGCACGCGTAATCCTTTGGAGGCATTATGGCATCTAAGTCTTTGGTGGATGCTAAGTTCATCCTCGCCGTGTGCTAGAAAGGCGCAGGGATGTGGGGATGCAGGGCTGGATGTGGGGGTGCAGGGATGTGGGGGATGCCTCCTGCATGGCCCTGGGCGCTCAGCAGCTGGCGGAGAGGAGCTGAAGCTCAGCTCTGAACTGCCCTCTGGAGGCACCTCACTCCCTCAGACGGGAGATCAAGCCATGGGGATTATCTGCTAATGCAGGCGAACGCAGCAGGTAGAAAAGATTTCAGCTGTTTTCCATCCAAAAAATGGAAAAATTGAGAAACTGCAGAGCAGTTCACCTCTGCTTTTAATACTCCAGCTTTCACCGTGTCGCAGTGCAGCTGGTCAAAGGGAGGATCCCACCCTGCTGTCGGGGTACGACCCGCTGCCTCTGGGGGCTGCGGGACCCCCCAGCTCCATGCCCAGAGCAGCGTGGCCAGGCCAGAGACCATCTGAGCCTCCATCTCTTGGGAGGCCTCAAAGAGTCCATGTGCCTCATTTAAATGTAATAACATATGCTGGGAGGAGTCTGCAAGGCAACGACCTGCCCCTACCGCGCCGGTAGCATTGTCCTCATGGTGCCATGGGCCCCCCACCCCGACCGGCTGGGTGCTCCTCCTTGTCCCAGCCCTCAAGCCAGCAATGAGCCACCCCCAGCCTTCTGCTTCCCTTGTTCCCCGGGCTTCCCCGTAGGTAAAAGACCGCCCCATGCTCCGTGTGTGGAGAAGCTAACGTTTGACCTTCTGTTTTTCAGGTAAGAAGGCTGGTCCTCCAGGACCCAACGGTCCCCAAGGGCCACCAGGTCCCCCTGGGCCCCAGGGTCCCCCCGGCATTCCCGGCATCCCGGGGATTCCCGGCACAACCGTCATGGGACCGCCCGGGCCCCCCGGCCCGCCGGGCCCTCAGGGACCACCTGGACTGCAGGGCCCCTCAGGTAACAGGGTTTGTCCCCTTCTCTGCTCAGAGCCTTTCCGAGGGGACGCAGGAGGTGCCACACGGCACCGCCGCGCTACAGAGAAATGAATAAGCACCGGGTCTCCACCTGAGGCCAGCGTAGGGCCCAACTACCGATGGCGCGGCACCTCTGCGTGGGGCTCGGGCGTTCCTGGGCTCGGCCTTGCACCCGCAGCGGGACGAGAGGAGCAGCCAAGACCCGCAGAGCCTCAGTTGCTTCGGGGCGTCTCACCGGGGTCTGCCGGTGACCGGTGTCTGAGTGCGCAAACCAGCTGCGGGGCGGCTCTTCCCACCCTGTTGGTGCTAATTCCCCTTAAGCTGAGGCAAAGCCTAGCTTAGCATCGGGGCCGGGAAGGCTGACACTGAGCGCGGCCGCTGAGCCAGCCCAGGAACTGCATGAGCCGCCGCAGCTTGCCCTCCCAGATGAAAATTGGGTTTTTCTCCTGCAGTTCTTGGTTTCGTTTTCCTTTGTTTCTTTGTATCCGCACTATATTGTTTCTCCATGGAGTCCTGTGCCAATTATTTTGTTAAAATCCCAGCATTTAATAACTCTTTAAACTGCGGATTAATGGAAGTCGCATAAGTGTTGTTTGTTTTACATATGTACAGTCTAGTATTAAAAAAAAAACCCACAACACATCTTCAGAGAAATCAGGGCTATTACCCTATAGCTCGCATGGCTCTCATAGGAAAACTCGGTTGTCTTCTCAGTTTATATCTCAGAAACTGCCAAAGCAGAGGCCAGGAGCAGCATGAGGTCCTTAGCACTCCAGAGTGCTGCCCACAAGCATCTCCTCTTTAATAGAGATTTGGCTCTCGGAGAAAAGAGATTTCAGCACGTAAGCTTGGATGCAGTGAATGACCTGAGTTACTGCAGAGCGAAACTTGTAATCTTTGCAGCCAAGAGGCTTTATTGCCACTACCGATCAGGAAAGGGGTTGTGCAATTTGTCCTTCTAGTGGAAACTGGTTGAATAACGCTGGGGGAGTTTTGACGTTAGACAGAAACCTAGGAATAAAGTGGGGAAAAGCAGGAGGAATCTTTTTGTCTTGTTTATGTACTTTTTAACATTAAGCTGCACCCCATACCACTGATCCTGTCCTATTCTGGTAAAAATGGGGGTTTTAATGGTTATTACGGGGTAAGAGAAGTTTTCTTTATAGGAGTGTTTCCTGCAGCTCTTTCACGCTTCCTCTTCAATGATGTGAAATTGCATTTTGCAGGTGCCACAGACAAGGCCGGCTCCAGAGATATCCAGGTTGGTTGATCTTCTTTGAAGGGAAAAAAACAGCTTCGGCTGGATTTTTGTAAACGTTACCAGCTCTATTTGCTAATGCTGTGCTTGATGTGTCTGAAAAAAACAGCCCCCCCTTCCCACGTGTGCTGAATCACAGCCACACAGAGCGACTGCCTGAGCTCACCCTTTTTATTGCTCAAAAAAAAAAAAAAAAAAAAAAAAAGCCACGTTAATCTGGCTTAGGCTTCTCACCCCTTCTCCAGTACCTGAACACGTTGTTGTCGGCTGCTCTGATCTTCTTTTTCCATTGATGAACAGCATCAATGATTTCAGGGCCCTGCCGTGCCTCTGTACCGGTCAGCAGTGCTGCGGAGGTGTGTCGGGTGGCTGGGAAACGACACGGTGTTCCCCGTTGACTTTAAATCCCTCTGATCTCTCGTTTGCAGCCAGCTGTGGTCCACCTTCAAGGCCAAGGCTCGGCAATCCAAGTGAAGAATGGTAAGGATCTCACGATATTGACAGTTGTTGAAAAGAGCCCACCCTGCACCCATAGCCCCATATCTGGGTTGGAGTCCCTCCTGTAACACAGGTTATCCCTGCTGTTGGCCTCCCCCCTGAGATGGACTCATTCCCCTCCTTAGGGGGGTCTTCTGCTGAGTCCCCATTTCTCCTCTTTCTCTCCCAGGTTACCTCTATCCTGTGCATCCCAGTAACTCTGTCCCGCTGAATCTCCCTTCTCCTTGACCTTCAGATCCGTGTTGTGCCTCCTCCAACCTGCTGTTGTATCACCAGTTTTCCTCAGCTCCTCAATGGCCAAACCTTCTTTCCCACTCTATTCTATTTTACGCCCCCGGGGTCTCCTTTTCCTGTCTCAGCCCTGTGGTTTTTCTCCAGTAACTTATGACAGGGGAAGGCAGGGCTGTAGTGTGAGGACACCGAGGTGCACAGCCCCTGGCTCCTCCTGTCTCATGCTGCGAGCGTGCCCCCACGCAGCCTCCCTGGTCCCTCATGCCTCTCTACCCTCACCAACAGCCTTCGAGCCTTTAACCTCTGAGTCCTCCCAAGCCATTTCACATCCGCAGGCAGCTTCCTCGCTCTCCTCCTTCCTCCCCGGATCCTTATCCAATTTCTGCTCGAGTTCCTGCTCTTCTTGCCAACAGCTGGGTCTCATTCATTAGCTGCTGCCTCCCTGCTCACGATGTCTGGCTGTGCTGCGGAGGAGCTGGCTGATTGTCCCCTGCCTAAATCACCACGAGCAGGTCCCCGGGGAGGGTGGGGGGCAGCCCCCGGAGCACCTACCGCCATCCCAGACCTGGGGGGCTGCAGCTCCCAGGGGTTGGTGCTGCAGGAGCCCATGGCCACCAACTCCTGCCCCATCCATGGGATGATGAGGGCTGGCCACTGCTTCTGTTGAAAGGCAATTTCTCTCTTTCAGCAGACGTGAGCTGTGGGAGCTGAAGTTTCTCCTGGTTAGGGAAGCTGGCTTGCAGCGGGGTGGGGGGAAGCTCCCCAAAACAAAAAAGGAAACCGGCCATTCCTTAGAACAATGCGAGGGGAAAGATGCTGGTTTGCTTACGTTCAGAAAGTAATTATCCCTTTATTAATGGGAAGCCTGTATGTTTACAGAGCGTACACTACTCTCTAAGAGTGGGAATTGCCCTGTGAGTGTCCTTCCCTGCTGCTCGGGAACAATCTGACGCTGCGAGCCATTAATGCTGTCCAGCTGCCAGCCAGCACAAAACAGCCTGGCTGGTTTGCGACGGGGGGGGCAGGGAGCTGAAAAGCAGATGAAAACCGGGAGGAGAAGAGTTGTATTTGATAAAACAAGGCACCTCCGGAGAGCAGCTCTGTTCTGGGCTCACGGCGGAGCGTGTCCTCCGGACCTGCTTGTTGGCCCGGCCGGGGGACAGGGGCTGTCTCATGTTGTCGTCAGTCCTTCTACTGGCTCCGGTGCCGGGGGGCTGGGTGGTGGATCTATAAATCCCTGACCACATTGAGGACCCCGGTTAGGGATTAATGTGGCGTGACGTGATGCAATTTCGGACTTTGTTGTTATTTTGGCTTTATAAAAACCTAGGAAATGTAATGACGAAGCATTTGTTAAAATAACGCTAGTTACAAAGTCAAGAATGTCGAAGTAAAGGAATACCAGAATTAAAATCGATTGTGTAACCCTCAGCTGGCCTCCATGCACAGACCTGTCCTGAGAGACGGTGTAGTCCTGCAGTTGCACGTGGGTTTTTTTCCATAATAATGTTGTCCCTTTTGCTGCGAGGACTAGTTTTCTCCTAAGGATGATCCCAAGGCTTAAAGTGAGGGTGAAGGGCCCTATCATGACACATCTGCTGAGGACATCCACCAGCCCAGCAGCGCTCGGAGGGGGGGCAGACAGATTGGCCACATGTAGCCCCGCTCCCGTGAGGACAGGGATCACCGTTGTCATCCTCGCCTTGCGGTGGTCCTCCAGGACGCGCCTGGTGATACCTTCAGCACGCCGTCTGCTGAAGGTCCCCTTCCTTCAGTGTGGGCACCGGATAGGGAGGTGTAGGAAGGGGAATAAATGAGATGGGAAGTAGAAGTTTAGTGGTCTCGAGGCTGGGGGATGTCAGCTGAGGATCTTTCTTGAAGAGGTGGATCCTGGTCCTGCCTTGTGCTGTGGAACTTCTTCCATGACACCAGGGAAGTGACCAGTAACACAGTTTTTAGAAGGGCCGTGAACAGCTGCTCTTCGGGAGGCACCTGAAGAAGTGCTGTAATAAGTCATTTGGGATCTGTGGCTGAACGTAAAAAAAAAAAAAAAAAAAAAATAGAGTGAAAAATCATCCCCTGGCCTCTCAGGTGAATTAAGAAAACTTAGCAAATACCTCGCAGTGATCTGCATGTGCTGAAGTGTCTTTGCTCTGGAGTGGGGATGACACTGGGAACATGTTTTCAGGCCTGTAAAACGCTCAGATATGACAATAAGCTCAACTTAGTGTCAAGAGGAGGCAAGTGAGTCTGTACCCAGCACCGGGGATGAAGGCAGTGTGGTACAAAAGGCCGTACGCTGCTGTTCAAGGGTGAGGGGAGCTCCTCTTGACGAGGACAAGCAGAGACGTGAGTCAGTTGTGCCGGGCGCCGAACGGCACGGCTGTCCCCAGCAAGCGATGGGGTACTTAGAGCTGTAGCGAGGCGCCCAAACTTAACGCCCCGTAGTCTTTAATTCTGGGAATTTCTTACCGAGTAACTTGACTTTTCAACTGGAGTCTGTGCCAGCCGTTGTGTATGAAACCTTGCAATGTCACTGTATTTCTGTGCTCCTGCGCTTTTCATTCTGACGGGTACTGAGTGACTGCCGTTTTCTCATACTGAGATCTTTCAGGTGGAGTCCTCAATGACTGGTCTCGCATCACTATGAACCCCAAGGTGTTTAAGCTGCATGCCCGCAGTGGGGAGCTGGAGGTACTGGTGGACGGCACATACTTCATCTATAGTCAGGTAGAAGTGAGTACGGTCCTAGGCCTAACTCCTATTCTTGTGTTCCAATGGAAGCCTTGCATGAACCACGAGAGGGCTCCAGACAACTAGCAAATGCCAAGAACTTGTATGTACTTTTAACCACTTCGTGCTCTAGGAGATGTGTGTCGGAGGAAGACGTTAGCCTTTCGAAGCGCGAGGTCACACGTTTCGCCGTGACACCAGCTGCCAGAGATTAGTTACCGAAACACGTGCGCGGGTGCCCAGCCCGAGCCCACATGCCACCGAGGCCTCTTTTTAACCCTCCATCTTGTCTGTGCAGTCATTCACCAGCCCATCTAAACCTCCTTGCAGAACAAGGGGTCCCAGCAGGATGCTAGGCTCCCTCTCTGCTTTAAGATGTAAAACCAAACCGTGGCCGTTCCAAAGCCACCTCACTCTTTGTAAGCGTAGGCTCTGCCCAAACTCCAGCCCAGGTAACTCCCTTTTGCCTCCGCATTCTTCGTGTAGCTCCAGACCGACACGATGCGCCAGCAGCCGCGTGGTGCAGCGAGATGGCTCAGCTGCTGCGTTAGTTGGTACCGACGGCCGACGTACGGACCCGCTTCTGTAAAAAGGGCTAAACAAAGGCATAAATTACTGCGTTACGCTTTAGTATACAGCTAATTAAGGCATCATTTCCTCAGACGGGCTGTCACTGAACGCACTGCTCCAAGGGTCTTGCAAATCTCTGACCAGAGTTGCTGAAGCTCTCCCCTTCCAGAGCAGGGTGTCCACCCACCTGCGGGCTGAAAAACTGCCCAGGTTTTGGAACAGATTTTAGCAAGATGAGGGTTTCTGTGTGACAACAACAATTAAGCAACTTCCACCTCACTCCAGGCTTCTAATATTACCTCCCAGTCATCAGTTGCAGCCCCACTGGGACTGTACCGAGTCGGATAAAGTCGGCAGTGAGTGTCAGGTTAGGTGCTCCTCCGTGGAACTGGTTACGTGTCTGGTCTGGATGGAGACAGGAAAAGTAAATCCACGTGAGCCAAAGTATAATTGTTCCCCGAGTGCCTAATGCTAATCACTGGCCACAGGGTCGTGCCTCTGGAACCTTTGTCATTTGTAGCCCATCAAGGGAAAAAAAAAAAAGGGACTCAGTCTTGTGTAGCTTCTGTGGTCACAGGGTGTAGACTAAGAGGAATTAGCAGATGCACCCAGATTGGCTGGTTTTCGTCTGTCAGGAAGAAGCAGCTCCCTGGGACTGACTTCTCTTTGGACAGGCCTTTCTCCTGCATCTCGTGGTTCTTCAGAATCAGTGTGTGGGAGATGGTTAAGCAACGAGAAGTGGAGTCACGGGGACTTAGGTGCTAGAACCAAGAGTTCAGTGGGTACAAACACGATAAGGTCATTCGCTTCCGAGCGGTGGAGGTTGGGAGAGTGTCTGCCCTGTAATAGCTGATGCCTTTGAAAGCAGCTCAAGTCCAATTACAAAGAAGGCAGCTCCCAGTACATCTTAGGGCATTTTTGATGTCAGCACTAAAGGAGGCTCATGGGACCCAGAAAGCAGGACCGGCCAGGTAAGTGAAAGAGGACTTCAGTTAAAATATTTGTTTGTCTGTTGGATAAAAAGCTGTTGTAGCGGATAGGGCTGTCTACACATTGTTGTAAGTAGGCCTGTGCAGGTTTGTAATTTTTTCCCTGTAATAAGCAGGGTCTAAAGCGAGGATTTGTAGCTCAGCTGTAGGTACGTGGATTCCCAGATGCTTGCATGCCTCTGTTAGTCTGAAGTGGAATACAGAGTTTCCTCGTGTTTGGTTGGCTTGGGGTTCCTTCTGCCTCGAAGAAGTCAACCTCCCATGAGTACAGGTGTCCCGGAGCCAAGGAAGGGATCGTTAGAGGAGGGAGCGTGTACGTACACGCTGCAAGGAATGCGGACTTGTTCCACGCGCACAAATACACCCCCCCCTAACACCTTTCTTCTTCCTGCTTCACATCAGGTATACTACATAAACTTCACAGATTTTGCCAGCTATGAGGTGGTGGTGGATGAAAAGCCCTTTCTGCAATGCACTCGGAGTATTGAGACCGGCAAGACCAACTTCAATACCTGCTACACAGCTGGGGTCTGCCTCCTCAAAGCCAGGCAGAAGATTGCTGTGAAAATGGTCCATGCTGACATCTCCATCAACATGAGCAAGCACACGACTTTCTTTGGGGCCATACGCCTAGGAGATGCACCAGCATCCTAGATGAACTTGGCGCGTCCAAGGATACTCACAGAACTGCACAGTGCTGCTGTTCATAAGCGTATCAGTATTTCAGGGGGTTCTGTAATCCGGCCATAAAGAAAACTGATCCAGAGCTATTTATTCCTATATGTGAATGCAGGAAGCACAATTGTCTTCTGTGACTTGTGTGGAGACTCGGATCAAAAAAGCTAGTTGAAAAAGCGTTGTGAGGAAGAAAGGCTGTTGTGTCTGCCTTGTCTCAGTATTTCAAGTATTACTGCACTGATATTCTGCTCTGTGATCTTCACACGAGGCTTGTTGAGAGTGGTGTGGGTCTCTGCTTTTATGTTGCACTAGCAAGAGCATCCCAGGTGGTAGCGGGAGGAGACAGACTAATGTCCAAATCGTCCTATCCAGGCACTCCTGCTTCTGCACGCTAACAAAAGCAAGAAGAAAAAAAAAAAAAAAAAAAGGGGTTTCTGGTTTTCAGCCTTCCCAGTTCGACCTGGGAACGGCCACGGGGCGCGGAGGGAGGTGAATAAGACGAGGTCAGTGGTGTTTACATTCATCCTCAGGAGCGCGAGCAAAGAAGGCGAAGCGCCTCTGCCTGGAGCTTGGACGCGGGCTGCAAAAGCAGTAAGTGCGAGAGGAAGATGAATACTTCGTTAGAGCGGGCTTAGCGGATAGGAAACTGCCTCCCCATTCCAGAGAAAAAAAAAAAACCCACAAAGTCCCAAAGAAAAGGCCGATTACCGGTTCCAGCACCTCTGCTACTTTCAGCTCCTGCCATTACCCCAGAGGTATACCTTGCCCTGACAGGGGCTGCCTTCAAGTACTGCTGCTGTGACAGCAATTTGTGTCTTGTTGGGGTTTTTTGTTGGGTTTTGGGGTTGGTTGGTTTTTTTTTTTTGGTTGGGGTGTTTGGTTGGGTTTTGTTTTGGGTTTTTTTTTGGTCTTTTTAATTAATATTTTGCAAACCAGAACACACATTTCTACAGGCTTCACTGAGCCGCGTAGAGCAGACACAAGTACTTGTGAAAACACTCTGAAGAAGATTGTCATGTTTAAGAATAAAATTATTCAAACAGGAAAAAAATTTTTTTTTTCTGTTTTAATAGCAACTGCCCTGCTTTTAGATGTGGTTTTCATCCTTCCTCCCCCCACTCCTTTCCTTTTGGCACCCTTCTACCTAAAATGCTCTAATAAGTGGTGATGGAGTCTCTAGCAAAAAAAAAAAAAATTGTATTTAAAAAGTCTGGTCCAGCATGAAGTCACCACTTTTTCTTTTCGCTGAGCCCTGCTGAGTCTAGTCATAACTCGATTTCTGGTGACTAATAGAAGAGCTGGGACACTATTGTTTCTTTTGGCTTCTTGAGCAACTCTCTCCCGTTACCTCCCCTCAACTGGGGAGACCTAAAGCTATAAGATGTGCTCGAGCTGAGGAAGAGGCTGAAGCGCTAATTGCTCTTTTGTGTCATGCCTTGGCTTGCGCTTGGTTTTGTTGATTTGTTGGTTTTGGGTTTGTTTTTTTTTAAACCGGATTTCTTTTCAGCGCGTGTTTTTTTCTTTAAAAAAAAAGAGGGGAGTGAGGTTTCAGCCGATGTAGCGAATGGGACAAGTCCTGAACCGCCGTCTTGGTGATGCCCTCCGTGTCCAGGTAGAGATGGCTAAGCCGTGGTCACCTGCGGGGCCGTGGGAGCAGACGTGGCTCAGCACCGTGCTGTAGCGACTGATCTGACCGCAGGAGGGTCCACCCTGGCCGAAGCATTCTTGGCTCCGTCGCTTTTCCCCATCCATAGCGAGTGATCTCACTTGCCAAGTATTGCAGTTATTGGGAGATAAATATTTCTTGGGGGCACCCAGCTTTGGCTACAGCCTCGCTATTCACAGGAGGCATGCAGTTTGTAAAACAACTGCATGAAAAATTGCCTGCTATTTCTTTTTCAATATGCTTTCCTCCTTTCTAGCCTTAACATGTTGGACTAGCAAGAGCCTTAGGGACACTTAACTCGTCTTTGTGGTTTATTTCCTTTAGAATGGATTAAGAAGGACATGTTCCTCTGACAAGAATGAATCAGGACAACTGTGTACAGTGAGAACATTAAGCAAATCATTAACAGAATTGCTTTAGGATACAGCCTGAACAGCAAGACTTAGGGGCAAGCGTAAATAACGCAATGACTTGGGAGAGCGCAGTGGATGGACTTTGCATTCCTTGTCCCCCACTGGCAGGTTCTGTGATCTGCTCCTGACTCCGGCAGCGGGCAGGAGGAGGCAGAGGGGTAATCCCTCCTCTCTGTAAGAGCCCCCCACATCGCTGTCACCATCCCTCAGTGGCATGTGCCTGGGGTGCGGGAGGAGAGCAGGAGGGGGCCGTTCCTGCCTCCCTCATCATGAGCCATGGAAGGTGTAAACAGGCTCTTTCTGATGCTCAAGTTACACCAAAGCGTGACCTGGGTGTAGCCGTGTTGGAGACGTAGTGGGAGTTGGAGAGCAGAGAACACCTGACTGCAGGTGGCCTTGGTGCTGGGAGACGGGTTCATCCCTGGGATGAGCGGGGTCACCAGTCCCGTAGCAGCCGTGGGGAGTCTTTATATATCTGAAACCCTTTGGCCTCTCTAGTAACAAGTTCTCACTGGTGAAGTAGTCCAGTGCGGGTTACCTAGGCTGCAGTATAGCAGCTTCTGTGCTGCCTCTCTCGATAGTGTCCTACCGACTTTGGTGCTTCTTTCCCTTAACTGGAGACGAAAGGGCCTGGAAGCAGCTGAGAGGAGCACGAGGAGGATGCGTATGGGAGGTCTGAACAAACTCCAGCAGGAACAGGGCCTTGCTCCGCTCTTTCCCTCTGATGTCTTTGAATTTTGACGCGTCTCGGTTCCTAGTGCTTCGCTTATAGGCAAAGGTCTGTGTATCCACACAGTGGACACAAAACCAGGTGCCACTGGCTCCCCGTGTGCCAGCCTTCCTCCCCGGCGGTGCGGGCTGGCTCCTCTTACCGACGTGCCTTGGCTCAGCTGCCCGACTGTCGGCTGAACTCCAGCTGCAGAAAGGTCGCGAGCAGCTGCTCGGTGTATAACGCATCGTCTGAAACCCTTCTCCCTCCCAGGCTCCTCTCCACAGAGACGGTTCCTAGGGAGGCCAGCTCGGCTGTTGTGTTCAGGGCCCCCTTTGAAGGAAGGATTCCCTTCGGTAAAGGCTTTAGGTCGTGGCTCCCTACCCAAAACTCCCTGCTCTTGCTTCCCTCCCGCGCCTCTCTCACCCAGGTAAGCGGTTGTGGTCTCTTTGCCACCCACTGTCCCCATCTGGGGCTTTGCATCATCCTTCCGCTGAACAGGCGACGTTGGGTGCTTAGAAAAGGGCACCCGGGCTGTGCTGAGGGGGAGATGAGCGAAGTGCACGAGCTCATTTTAGTTCATATTTCTTCCCCTCTCCCCAGTAAGAGGTGGAGCGCGGGGAATCCTTCCCTCGCGTTCCCATCCTGGCCCCAGGCTGTCGGGGCGCAAGTTTTGGGGGGAAGGGACAACTACAGCTACCCGCTTACAAGCCTGACCCCCCCACACCCCGTGTTCTTCCCCCCCAGGCTGGGAGGAAGCCTCTGAGACTCCCCAACAAAAGCGTAATGGGAGAAGAGCTGTGGGAAGAGAGACAGGACTCCTCCTGTTACCTGTTAGAGCTGCACAGTGATGTACTGATGCTGTTTTGTGCTTCAACATCTTTATTCAAGACACTATCTGTATATAAAATATACATAATGTATATAAATTAGGATGTAAGTTTATGTAAATTGTCAATATTTTCTTTGCAAATAAAGCTTTTTCCTGATCTTGGTGTTCTCAGTGGGACGTCCTTCTCCAGCCAAAGCAGGAGTTGCTGTGGGAAGTCTGAACAGCTACAGCAAAGGGTTTCGACTGTGCTCGTGCGGTGGGAGGCGAAGTTCCTCCATCCTTGGGGAGTATTTGGCTGCGGCTGCTGATGCCAGAGGCACCGGTCCCCTCGTCGGGCTTGGACCTGCTCAGCATTTGCCTTCAAACTCTGCAGCCAAGGGAACGCGCAGGAAACAGCATCACTATCACGGGGAACGATTCGATGTAAGGAGGGGGCAGAGAGGGGGGATGAGTCTCTGGAGCCAAGGCCCCAGC